CCTGATAGTTGTTCTCCTTCCCTTCTCTTTAGCCCTCAATTAGCAAGTCTGGCAACTTGTACCTTTTAAATATATTTCAGACTCATGTACTTCTGGCCATCCTGGGCCACCTCCCAATTAAATCCACCATCATCTCTCATCTGGAATAGGGTTGGGTCCTGATGGATCTTTCTCTCTTTCATTAGGGATTGAACCCAGGGGCACTCTATCACTGAGTTACATCCTCAGCCCTTTATTTGGAGACAGGGTCTTGCTAAGTTGCTGAGGCTGGCCTCGAACTTATGATCCTCTTACATCAGCCTCCCAAATTGTTGTGATATAGTCATGCACCACCACTCTTGGCCCGATGGTTCTCTCTCTCTCTCTCTCTCTCTCTCTCTCTCTCTCTCTCTCTCCTCTTGCCTTCTGTTGAGGCAGAGGTAGTGGTGGAGGGGGATTTTCCTTCACTTTGTCTTCATGCTCCCACTTGGAGGCAGCGTGGTTAGGTGACCATCCCTGGCCCCTCTCAGTGATCTCATCTACTTGTCTTCTTTCATGAGGATACTGAAATGTTCTTAAAGAATAAACCACATCTTAGCAGTGTTTTAAAATCAGGAAAGTCTGTTAGCATCACCAAGGAAGAGTCCCCCCACCCCAAAATGACTGAGCTGCTCCTAGGGAAGTCCGTATTTGCAGGTTTGAATGGGGGCCTTGGAATCTATTCTTTACGAAAGCTCCTTGATTCATTTTCATTGGCGACCAATAAAAACAGTTGAACTAATAGGTTTTAGCCTTAAAGTGCTATCTGACTAGATGGATCAGATAATCAAGTAGTTAGCAGAAAGTGAGGGAGCCCACGTGGATAGTGGACAGATGACCAGGCTGAGGGCTGAGCTAGAGGCTATCCAGTTAGGTTTAAAAGTCAGAAAAAAAAAAAAAGAATCTAGTACGAGCTTAGCAGGAGTGAGCAACCCTCTAAGAACTTAGAATTAAGGTTGCCTCAGAGAGAAACGAGATGAAGGAATAAAAACAACTTTCAATAGACGTGATTATCTCTGGGAACAAACTCAGAGACTGTCCATAATGTGAGAGTCAAGAATTTAGGAACACCCCAAACTCCACTTGAGGTTCTTAGGGAATCTCAAGAAAGTAGGACTAAAGTATGGTTATAATTTAGTGATTAAGTTCTAATCATTGCATCTATTTTAGGAAAAGTCTGTGCACAATGACAAAGGTTGGTCATGCTAAACTTGAATACTGCTGGCCACTTTTGGGTGTTCTCTGCACGAAGTAGAACTTCTCAGACTTCTCTTTGTATGTTCCCACTCATTAGGGCATATGTTCCCCACCCTCTTTCCAGAGTCCCCAACCCACCTGGCTACCTTATGACTTCTTCCTGGTTCATCCCCTTTTTATTAGGTATAAAAATCACTTTCACATTTAAGGACTTGCCATTTTGAATCCACTTAAGACTCACCAATGAGTTGCTGTAGTAGGTTGGGAGTCTGGAAATATCCCATGAGCACATCTCAGAAATAACAGCTCATCTTCCTTGTATGGAAATCTCCAAATCCCAGGGCAGAGATTCCGATGGTCTCAGGCTGGGCCACGTGTCCACTCTGGACGGGTCATCCATGGGGTTGAGTGGTGGAAGGGAGAAGAGTCAGGGCTTCTTTACAGAAAGATGTTGTGTTTTGTTGGCTGGGACTGTCCTGGAAACAAAGGGACTCAATAGATGATAGTGTCCACTCAAATGACAATACATGTTATGTCAAGGTCATAACACCCACATCTTGGAAACCAGAGGGAATTGGAATCTCTAGTTTATCTCTAGCCTTGGGAAAGCGGGGAAAAAATCTGGATTCAGTCCATTCCCAGTTAACCATGTAAGCAATACCTCCAGGAAACAGTCAGTCTTTCTGTGTCTTCCGGCTCTCCAAGCCTTCTGCCTACATTCCCCCATCCCTCCACCCCGCCTTGGAATCATGTGATGGTCTCCCAGCTTCCTGAGGTCACCAGGGCTCTATCTCTGGCCTCTAGTCCCACTCACGGCTTGCACTGCTGAAGCTGGCAGCTAGAGGGATTTGTGACCTGCTTTCTCTCAGCCCCATGGGGGCCCTGTGTTACTCCCAGGCTGACTTCAGAATTCCTGGCTGGGTGGGGATCCTTCTGAGTTTCTGCTGCACCTCTGCCTGGTTCCCCTGCCCCAGGGCAGCTCCTAGGCTTCTCTTTGCTGAGACTCCAGGAAGGATCTGGAGCTGAGAGAAGCACAGGCAAGCAAATTAAACCCCCTTCTGCCCGACGGCTACTTGGCCCTCACATTTATGCTTTGCCACATGAGGTCTCTATGTCCTTGGTACTTTTCATTTTCTAGTTATTTCATAAAGACAGCGCCAATAATATGTGTGTGTTGGAGGTTTGTGGAACGTATGTGGTATGATATGTGTCATGTTTGTGGTTTATGGTGTGTATGTGTGTTATGTGTTATGTGTGACATATGGTATGTATGTATGCTGTAGCATGTACACATCTGTGGTATATAGCATAGCTGTGGTATGTGTGCTGTAGGCTCTAGGGTGCGTATGCGTGTGTGTGTGTGTGTGTGTGTGTGTGTGTGTGGTGTGGAATGTGTATGATGGGGAGAGTTTCTCTTTTCTTTCTTTTTCTCACCTCCTTTTCCCATACTCTTGGGATAGAAAGGAAAGAGTCCTCACTAGAGTCACAGCCCCCATCCACCGCCGAGAAGCTTCCTGGACACCCTGGTACTCTAAAAGCTGGTTCTTGATACACTAAAGGGAAGGATCAAGGAACTTCGAAGATGACAGCTTGTACTTATTGAATATTTTGTTCTAGACACTTCCTAACTACTTCTAAGTGTTACAGCGCTTGGCGTCTAAAAAAAAAAAAAACCGCAATGAACATTCCTTGAACCTATGCTTTATGTGAATTAGCTTGTTAAAGTCTCATAACAATCCCCTGAGGTAGATATTCTTGTTATTCCCATTTTACAGATAAGGAGACTAAGTCATAGAGAAATTCAGTCACACTTGTCCAAGGTCATATAACTGGCAGAACCTGGGTGAGGCCCAGATATTGTGCCTCTGAGTCTGTCCTTTCAGCCAATTGGAAATTCTCTCTCTCTCAAGATAATAGCCTGGATCTAAAGATTAGTGCCTTGCTGAGAAATCTCATTTTAAATGTCAACAGCGGAATATTAACTTCTTATTTCTTTTTGTATTATTCTGTAACAATTTAATCTCTCCCCAGGCAGACGGATGCTCAGGACCAACCAAGGGAAAAGGTCGTACCCTCTGAAAGGCAAAAGAGAAAAAGCATGTTAATGGTTTCCCCAAATATTGCCCTCTTTACAATAATAACAGTAAAAACAATGATAATGACACAGAAACATAAAAATAGGAATGTGACAGGGGTGAATATGTCTGATGCCATCTGTGTTCTGTTCTGGGAGAGGTGTTCTTGGTTGAGCAGACTCGCCTACTATTTCCTTGACAAGGCCACTTCTGATGCCTCCAGAGGTCCTCAAGCGACTGAGCTGAGGGGTATGTGGCAAGAAGCTGAGAATCCCCTAGAATCACTAGGGATTCTCTGCTCACTGAGGGACTTTCTGGCCAGGTGACCTCTCAAGTTTCTCACCTACAGGGAGAAGATGCCCTGGTAAGGTGTGCTCAAGGGTCTGGACTATTTGACAGTTATGTTTTCTGTGGTGACTAAACAGATGGGTGTCCTCTGGCCTGGGTAACATGAATTGCCCTTGAGAAAGTTCTGAAGGAGCTCAGTTAGTGACCCAACAAGGCCGAGAGGAACAGTGCATTAATAAACACCTTCTCAGGGGACATAGCTGGGCAGCAGTCATTGCCAGGGTCAGTCTCTGTCTCCGTCTGAGCCTGGGTTCCTTGACAGAAGAGGACAAAGACTTACATGTGGAGATGATATTATTATTATTATTATTATTATTATTATTATTATTATTACTACCAGAGATTGAAGGCAGGGGTGTTTAAACACTGAGCCACATCCCCAGCCCTTTATATTTTATTTAGAGACAGGGTCTCACTGAGTTGCTTTGGGGCTCACTAGGTTGCTGAGGCTGGCCTTGAACTTGCTATTCTCCTGCCTCAGCCTCCCGGGCTGCTGGGATTACAGGTGTGTGCCACGAGGACCAGCGTGGGGATCTTACTGGAGAGTGGGAACTAGATAGGACATTTGAGAGCCAGAGGAGGGAGGCAGCATAGAGAGTGAATTTGAAGACGTGTCATCGAGTGGGCTACTTGCTGGTTGCTTGGTCATGTGTGACGGCCTGAGAAGCCATTTGACATGTGTCTCAGAACTGTACCTGGAGGAAAGAGAAAGAAAGAATTTATTTATCAGTTCCCATCCCTCTTTGTCAGAGGTTTGTCCCTCCACAAAGTAGTCAAGGCAAGCTTCCCAGAATTTCCCCGTTTCTCTGATACAGGCAGGAAGCCCTGAGTGTGAGGGAGATAGTGCTGAGGGGATGGTGACCAGGTGTGCACCTGAAGGTGGCCTGGTTCAAGAAGGACCCGCTGCTGCGCAGAGGGGTAGTGTCAAGAGTGCTCAAAGGGATGGAATAGAAGGTGTATCTTCAAACCCACTTTCTTCAAACTGCATAACATCCAGCAGTGTGAGCTGGTGACCCATTTCCACCCTCAGGACACATTAGCACCCTCTTCCTAATGGTGAGGCCCAGGGAGATGGGGCCCTGGCCTCTGACTTCCCTTTTGATTCTGATATTCTGTATTGAATAAAACTTCCAGGTGCTACCTGAGGAGAAAGAATGAATGAGATACAAGACTAACAGGTGGAAGACTTGCTAGGGTAAGGTGAGACTTGGGGGTCAAGCGAAGGAGGTGAGGGGGAAGTAAAAGATGTGGGAAGGCTCTTGGGGTATGGGGACAATGACAATTCAGCTTCAGTAGAACAGGAGGTGATTTGGGTATTGAGAGGAGGTGCCCAAGAGTCAGCTGGTAGAGGTGTTTTGTTTTGTTTATATGGAACACTTCATGAATTTGCATGTCATCCTTGTGCAGGGACCATGCTAATCTTCTCCGTATTGTTCTAATTTTAGTCTATGCACTGCTGAAGTGAGCACTGGTGGAGGTTTTGATAATGTGTGGTGTGATGGAAACAGTGGACAAGAGAGGGGCTCTGATCCAGCTCTGCCACTGGCAAAGCTGAGTGACTTTGGACACACCAGTCAGCTCCAGGTTCCAGTTCTTCATCTGTAAAGTGAAGAATGGGTGTGCAGGGCTCTTGGAGGCTTTTGTGGGGAGTTGGACTAAATTACAGTTGGCACCAGGAAGATGCATCTGGGGTTAGCTGGGCCCAGCTATCTAGCTGGGGTCCATGGTCTGAACTGTACTCTATGGAGAGGAGGACTTATTTGCACAAGCAAGGCAGGTCTCTAGTCAGTTCTTCCAGGTGGCCATTGTGGCAGCAAAGGTAACTGACCATCAAAGATGTGCACTCTCCTTCCACAGTGAGAGGTATTGTCAGAAAGCAGTTGTTTAGTGAGACACCGAAATCCTCAAAGTTCTCTCTATCTGGGCCCAAAGGACTATGGCCAAAAGAATGGAAGTAGGAATGGTGTGTGTTGTTTCTGAGCTAACGATATTAATGATCAGTTGTTTCTTTCCTCTATAGCAATCTTATAGCAGGTTAAAGATGGTGGCATTACAAGATAGAAGAAACTTGGATCCCAGATCCACTGTTTGGAGGGGAAACAGTATTATCTTTGAACTTTTCATGAGCAAAAAATACACTTGTTCTGTGTTAACCCAGTCATTTATGGGGTTGTTGTCATGACAGTGTATCTAACAGAGCTATCCTAGAAACTTCCAATGAATTCCAAAGCAGAAGCTCAGTTATTTGAGGACCTACAACTTAGGGAGCCTAAAGATGAGCCCAAATATCTTGGATGATATTTATCTTTAAGTGTTTATGGGGTGCCTACTCCTACTACCTACCAGATCTTCTTCTTGGTTTTGGGAGTACAATGTTAGGATGACAGAGTCCAATCTTTTGAGGTTGTGGAGAGAGGCAACAGGCAGGTGTGTCAAGTACAGGCTTTGTAATGTTGCAGTGTAATTTACTTTTGGTTTTCCACTGCCCATTCCAAGTGGGGTGATCTGTTCCTGCGGTGGAAATGGGGTGGATCCCCTGGTTGCTCTGTTCACTCCCAGGCAATAGACAATCCTTTGGATCACTTTAAGTTGGAAACAGCCTCCATCTAAAATCAGGAATGTCTGGTGGAAGGTGATTAGATGTTTCAATTTCATCCCACAGTTGAATTAGCATCTTTGAGTTATAGCCTGTATTTGATGACTTTCTGACTAAGGACAGGATGTAGCCAGCTTCTGCTTTCTCTTGTTTCATCTTCTTCCCCATCTTATCTCTTTCTGGATGGTATTTTAATTTTTTGGAGGGTAGGGGTTAAATATGCATGTGTGTGGTGGTAAGGAAATGGGGCAGTTCCTATGAGACTGAGGGGTCTCTGGGCCTGAGGGTGCTTCAAACTTACTTTAACTTTGGTTCAGTTAGATGCATCTTAATGGTGAAGTTATTTGCTCTTCTTCCTTAACCTTGAGGAAGAATAGGTCTTCACTTTCAGTTTCTCATTGCTTCTTGTGTTGCATTTTTAGGTGCCCACATTGGGCAGAACCACCCAAGACCACGTTTCTCCGTTTTTTTTTTTTTTTTTACATGGCCCAGACTATGGTTTGAATGTGTCCTCCAAAATTCTCATGTTGGAAATTTAATCTCCAGTGCAACAGTGTTGAGAAGTGGGGCCTTTGGGGGGGTGGCTTTTAGGTCATGAGGCTCTGCCCCCACAAATAGATTAGTGCTGCCATATAAGGGTTTGTGGGCACTCTCTCTTCTATTCTTCTGCCATATGAGGAACACCGTTCTCCCCTCCAGAAGATGTAGTGTTCAAGGCGCCATCTTGGAAGCAGAGAATAGGCCTTCACCAGACACCAAAACCTGCTGGTACCTTGATTTTGGACTTCCCAGTCTCCAACAGTTTGAGAAATAAATTTCTGTTCTTAATAAAATACCTAGCCTCAGGTATTCTGACTTAACAATAAAATGGACTAAAACTGTCTACATGGGTCCACAAGAAATACTCAAACATCTTTCATTACAATAGATTTTAGAGATATAGAATGAACCCCAAATGGTCTCTCTACTATTTCCCAGCCTACCTGCTTTAGTTTTCTTGGGTGAGACTTAAACACGTCTAATATCTAACACCCCTCTCCCATTGGACAGAGCACACAGTAAGGTCTCTAAGTGGTCCTCTCTTTCCAGGCTTGAAGAACTCCCCATCTTCCCACCTCTCTTCCAAGACAGCAACAACTCCCTCAAGAGAAATCCTCTATAAATCCCTTGTTCTTCATTCTCTGACCTCTTTTCTGTTTGCTTTGGGTGGTGCTGGGGATGGAACCCAGGGCCTCAACATGCTAGGCAAGGACACTACCACCAAGGTACATCCCCAACCCTTCCTAATGTTTTTTTTTTTTTTTAAATCTGACTGAAGAGTCCAAGAATTATAGAAAGATTCTTGACCATGTCTTTTCTAGAGTTTGCCTGTAGTTATCTATCTTTGAAATTTCACGTTTATTGTCTCTTGGCATTTAGATGGGAAACCTCTATTTTAACATCCTGGCAAACAGGTAAACAAATAAGTTAAAGAAGAGAATTTCAGATAGTAATAAACTTGATAAAGAAATGAAAAAAAACCATGTGTGCTGGTGTAATTCCAGCAACTCAGGAGGCTGAGGCAGGAGCGTTGCAAGTTTGAGGCCAACCTCAGTAACTTAGTGAGGCCCTAAGCAACTTAGTGAGATCCTGTCTCAAACAAAATTAAAAGGGCTGCAGATGTGGCTCCATGGTTCAATCCCCAGTATGAAAAATTTGTGATCCTCCTGCCCCAGCCTCTCGGGTTGCTGAGATTACAGGTGGGCATCACTATGCCTGCCTGTCTTTTTCTTTTCTTTTTTCCTTCTTTTTTGCAGTGCCCTTCTCCAGGAGTTAGTACATCACAGTGCTTCAATACAATTAGTACATTTAGATGGGAAACTTGCACTTGTTACTTTCTTTTTCTTTTGAAAATTAATTAATTATTAATAAACAATTTCAGTGTTTACAGAAAATATTTCAAAAAAATTTTAAAATTTTTAAATTAATTAATTTTTAATTAATTAATTAATTTTACAGTAGGATGCATTTTGACATATTGCACACAAATGGAGCACAACTTCTCATTCCTCTGGCTGTACATGGTTCAGGGTAACTCCACTAGTGTAATCATACATGTATATAGGGTAATAATATCTGTCTTTTTTTAAAAATATTTTTTAGTTGTAGTTGGACACAATACCTTTATTTATTTATTTTTATGTGGTGCTGAGGATCAAACCCAGGGCCTCACATATGTGAGGCAAGCGCTGTACCACTGAGCCACAGCTCTACCACTGAGCCACAACCCCAGCCCTGTCTTTTTTTTTTTTTTAATTCATGTTAAGGGTTGGGGATGTAGTTCAGTGGTAGAATGCTTGCCTGTTATGTGCAAGGTCCTGGGTTAAAAAATATGTTAGAAGTTACAAAGACAAAAATGTAGCTATTGCATGTGAAGAACAGATTGGAGGGATCTCACGTTGTAAAGAAAAACAAACTTTAAATTCAGTTTCTCTTGCTACGTGCTCACCACACAGATCACTTCTGTGACCTCAGATGTGCAGACATTTCTCCCCATTAGCAAGTGAACAAACAACTTTACAGCAGACACTAGCTGGACCTCCTTTAATCCATTTCAATTCCAACACTCTCAACCTGGTGATAGCAGCAGATCCCGTAGCTCGAGAGTTCAGTCCCCAAGACTGTCCCCTCTTCAGTTCCAGTTGCAAGTTGAGGCCTCTGGAACCAATCAGCTCCAATTGGGTTTCCATGACCATTTCTTTGGGTTGATAAATTTGCTAGAGTGGCTTGCAGAACTCAGGGAATCAGTTACATTTAATGGTTTATTATAAAAAAATATTTTAAAAGATACAAATAAGCAGCCAGATGAAGAGATGCATGGGGGAAGGTCTGGAAGGGTCTGAGTGCCAGAGCTTGACCCCATGGGGTGGCCACCTTCCCAGCATATGATGAGGTCTTGTTCACCTTCCTGTAACCCTTTACATGTTGAGCTGTCCAGAAGGCCTCTGAATCCTGTCCTTGGTGTTTTTATGGAGACGATGACACGGGCATGACTGACACATGAACACCCATGTAGAAAGATGATTGGATAAAAGAGTATGATCTGATGTGATAGGCTAACTGGAAACCCAGCAAGGCCTGTCTGATTCTTCTTGGCCTCTCTGTGAAGCATCCCTTCCTCTCAGGCATGGGGGCAAGACTCCTTCTGAAAGGTGGTGGTGGGGGTTATGATCTACTATTAGAGAATTTTTTTTGGGGGGGGGGTAAGGCAAAATTGAGACCATTGGAGCTTAACCACTCAGCTACATCCCCAGCCCTTTTTAAATTTTTTTTTTTTATTAGAGATCAGGTCTTACTAAGTTGTTTCAGGCCTCACTAAGTTGCTGAGGCTGGCTTTGAACTTGTGATCCTTCTGCCTCAGCCTCCTGAGTCACTGGAATTACAGGCATAAGCCACCGTGCCCGGCTATTAGAGAATTTCTTTATGGATAGCTCCAAGACAGAATGGCAGAGGAATATTAGAGTTCCTATAACTTACTTTAAGGAAGAGAAATTCTAGTTTTGTGGGCTGCCTTAGACCAGTAAAGAAGCCTTTGTGGTAATCCAAAGAGAGAAAAGATGCGGTGATGATTTCAAGGGGCAGGGGTGGAGTTGGAGATGGAACTCGAGCTTTTAGAGACAGAGCCATCAGTGCAGACTGGATGTGAGGGATGTGAGAGTAGCCCAGGCAAGGCTTATTATGAAAGTGACGGTGTGGGGGCCATTTTTCCATACCAGTGTTTGCATTTCTCAAATTGGGGATGGAAAAGTGGGGAACTAAACTACTTCAAATTGTTTATGCCTGAGGTCAAATTTATGTCCTGGGTATTAGGGATACCCTGAGCTTCCACTAGCA